TTCAGTGAAAAGATCTGTTAAAAATATATTTTTAAAATATTTGTGATACCAGATGAACAAATAGGGGTCATTTTTCTATTTTCCTCTTTTTCTTTTCTCTTCTTAATATTTTTTTGAAAAGAGAATATAGTCACCCATAATGTCACAGTTACCTTTGCTCATATTTTAAATAGCTAAAATCAAAACATACATAATTCAGGCCCATAGTCTGTTATAAATTGTTAAGTCTCAATGTGTTATGGAATTAACTTTTTCAATTTCAAAAAGGTAATACAGTCATTTATGTTTTACTATGTAATATCTGCAGGTTTTTGCAGCAAAACATTTGAATAATTTTACTATGTAGGAATAAAAAAGACTGTAAAAAACCCCACATTAATTCAGGTCAGGTTTTGCTGTCAGATGAAGATTTGTGCCAAGCTTGCAAAAACAAAAAAACAAAAAAAATGCTAAAAGTTCATGGATCAAGGTTGTAGGTCCTTCTCTTTGTAATCTGCTGCTTTAATTTACCATTTAATGGTATAAATATTTTATACATAGCTATTATATCAAATATAATTACTTGATGACTTTATTATATATTATGTTAGTATACCAAAATTTATTAAATCACTCCCCTACTTTTTTGTTTGAGACAAGAGTCTTACTCTATCACTCTGGATAGAGTTGCAGTGGCATCATCATAGCTCACAGCAACCTCAAACTCCTGGGCTCAAGGATCCTCCTGCCTCAGCCTCCCCAGAAGCTGGGACTCCAGGCACACACCACCACAGCCTGGCTAATTTTTTGTGTTTTTGGTAGAGTCCGGGTCTCACTCTTGCTTGAGCTGGTCTCCAACTCCTGAGTTCAAACGATCCTCCCACCTAAGCTTCCCAGAGTGCTAGTATTATAGGCATGAGCCACCATGCCCAGCCTACCCTACTGTTAATGCAAAAACGGAACTTCCAGATCTTGCTTTTAAAAGTACCACTGAGGTCAGGCACAGTGGCTCATACCTTATAACCTTAGCACTCTGGAAGGCCAAGGTGGGTGGGAGGGGGAGTATTGTTTGAGTTTAGGAGTTTGAGACCAGCCTGAGCAAGAGCAAGACAACCCCCCACCCCACTCCCAAGTCTTTACTAAAAATAGAAAAATTAACCAGGCACTGTGACACACCCCTGTAGTCTGAGCTACTCTGGAGGCTGAGGTAGGAGGATTGCTTGAGTCCAGGAGTTTGAGGTTGCTGTGAGCTTTTATGATGCCACTGCACCTCTATCCAGGGCAACATAGCAAGTCTTTGTCTCAAAAAAAAAAAAAAAGTAGCACTCAGTAAATATCTTTTTGTATGTATTATTTTGTTTGTGTTGAATTAAATATCTTTTGTATGTATTATTTGTTTGTGTTGAATTGTTTTCTTAGATTGCCAGAGTCATTAAAATTTTAGTGCATGCTACACATAACTTCCAAAAATGTTTGTGTGAATTTGCAAGATCACTAAAATGAGAATACTAATTTTATAACCTCACAAACAGTGTGGGTTTGTGTGTAAGCATTTACTTTTATAGGAGACAAAGGTTTTGTTGCTTTAGATAATTTAATGTGTTCATTTTTAGTTACTTTAACTTTTACATATCTGACCATCAGTTAAGAAAATAATACTAATTGAAATAATTTTTGTATCATTGAACTTGCATTGTGATTGATGGATTTATATTCCCTTTTAAATATAGCCCCCTTTGCTCTGGTATCCCTAAAATGATAAACATTAGCCACCACAGTGTGGAGCCTCTCAGAGTTTCACCTTAGTTAATTATAGAAACATCTGCAAAATACTGTTTGCAATCTGGCTTAGTTTATCTTTGTCTAGATTCACTATTAATAAAATAAACTCAACGTTTCAACTGTGGGAGGTAGGAAAGAGAAAGCAGTGAATATCAAGCGTCCTAAAATGTTTAACCCCTGCTTAGTAATTCTTAGCATGTAAATACAGCACCGGGCATGGTGGTACATATCTTAATCCCAGCTACTTGGGAGGCTAGGCAGGAAGATCACTTGAGCCCAGGAGTTGGAGGTTGCGTGAGCTAGGCTGATGCCACAGCACTCTAGGCCAGGTGACAGAGCAAGACTCCATCACACACAAAAAAAACTTCACCCTCCAGTGTACATCTCTTTACTATTCCCTGTGACAAATGGAAGATAAACACTAAAACTCCTCCTGCAGCGAGATGATTGTCTCCAGGAAAGCACTTGGGTGACTGGTCCTTGTGAGCCGAATTGCCACATTTTTTCATGGAACACCACGGACAACTAACTTATTCGACTAGGTATTTGAAAGATTTTTTTTTTAGAAGATGAATGCAGTTAGTCACTTCAGCGAAAATACCTGAAAGTTTTTGTTGTCAATGATAAAATTGAGCTTTCAAGTGGAAATTAGAATTTAGGAATTTTATATCTGGGCCGGGCACGTTGCTCACGCCTGTAATCCTAGCACTCTGGGAGGCCAAGGCGGGCAGATTGCTCAAGGTCAGGAGTCGAAACCAGCCTGAGCAAAGAGCGACCTGTCTCTAGTAAAAATAGAAATAAATAATCTGACCAACTAAAAATTATATATGAAAAAGCCCAGGCATGTTGGTGCATGCCTGTAGTCCCAGCTACTTGGGAGGCTGAGACAGAAGGATAGCTTGAGCCCAGGAGTTTGAGGTTGCTGTGAGCTAGGCTGACACCATGGCACTGTAGCCCAGGCAACACAGTGAGACTCTGTCTCAAAAAGAAAGAAAGAGAGAGAAAAGAGAGAAAATAAGAAAATTTATATCTGCCTGCCACTGTGAGTTTGACAGCTTCCCAATACTAAAGAATTGTGATAAGAGGGGGGGAAAGGGGCATTTATTGAAACCTTAAAATCTGTACCCCCATAATATGCCGAAATAAAAAAAAAAAAAGAATTGTGATAAGATTGAGGTGTTACTGATGAATATGATTTTTAAATATTGTATAATGAAACATGCCAATATGTGGAAAATCTGCATAACTAAGTGACCTACTATGTTCCAAATGACCAGTGTCTGATGTTACAGAATCATGCATGAGTGGATAAAAGATCCATTCCAAAGTACAGGATAGACCCATGGATTTTAACATAACAATACAAAGTTCATTAGTAGGGTTTCCAATTTCACAGGGAGCTAACCTTTGAGAAACTACCACTTTCGAATTTTGGTGTAGTAATGAAGAATATTTACAATTGTCTGAAAAGATTATTAAAATATTCTTCCCTTTTCCAAGTACAGTTGACCATTGAACAACACAGGGGTTAGGGGTACTAACCTCCCACAAAGTCGAAACTCAATGCATCTGACTCCCCAAAAACTTAACCATGATTAGCCTCCTGCTGTTGACTGGAAGCCTTACCAATAACAGCTGATTAACACATATTCTGCATGCTATGTGTGTTGTAGGCTGTATCCTTTAAGCTAGAGAGAAAATTAATTAAAATCATAAGGAAGAGAAAATATTTATTATTCATTAAGGGGAAGTGGATTGTCGTAAAGGTCTTCATCCTCATGGTTTTCACACTGAGGAGGATGAGGAAGGAGAGGGGTTGATCTTGCTGCCTCAGAAGTGGCAGAGTGTGGAAGGTGGAGAAGGCAGAAGGGGAGGCAGGAGGGGCAAGCACATTCAGTATAACGTTTATTGAAAAGAATCCGCGTAAGAGTGGACCCACGCCATTCAAACCCATGTTGTTCAAGGGTCAACTGCACCTTTTTATGTATGGCCAGAGTTTCTTCATATACTTCAACCAAAATAACCTGTTGTAGCACTTGAAATGCAGAAGCAGATGAGAGGCTTGCTGTCTTCTCTATTAAGCCATACTGAAATATGTTAACATGGAATGGGCTTATTATGGATATTTTAAAATGATTTAATGAAACGTTTGGTAAAGATTCTGAGCTTTACTTTATAATATGGTGAATGTCAGTAGCTAAAACCCAAATAAAAGCTTTTTGGGGTCCTCAAGAATCTTAAGATGTGTAAAGGGGCTTTGAGACCAAAAAGTTTGAAAACTGCTGATTTCAAGCTTTGTGACTCAAAGTGTGGTTCCGGGTACCCGCTGAATTGCAGAAACAGGGCCCTGCCCCACACCTACTAAACCAGAACCTGCAGTCTAACAAGATCGTCAGGTGATTCTCCTGTACACTGAAGAAGCACAGTCTTCGGGAACCTGTGGAAGCAGCTACCCTTGGGGCCAGTGCAGCCGTGGGAACATCCAGCCAGAAAGTGAAAACGCAGGGAGGAGGACTAGAGTCCCAAACACAGATCCCTTCTTTCCCAAAGTGCTTGCCCCCTTCACTGTGTCTTTTTATCAAGTGTTTTCATTTGAGGAAAGTATTCTAATACAATTTAGGTGTTTCAAATTGCTTGGAGGTCTATTAGAAAACTGGGCTCAGAAAGGGTAGGCCACTCAGCATGGGGATACCTGTTGGAGACGTGAAGCCTGTGACATTGTCCAAAATCTGAGCAAGGTGTGTCTGTCCAGGCACACACCTGTTACTGGGAGATTTCGTATGGTATTCTCGCCTTATTTCCGGTTTGTTCTTTTCACTGATGATAACTGCTATTGCTATAATCTTAAGATGCAAAACACAGACAAAAGGAATCTCACTTAAATTTTAGTTGTAGACTTATGTTTATCTCAAAAGCAGTTTTCCACTTCTAATTACATCTCTGTGGGTACATGGTTATATCAAACAGCATGCATGTAATCTGGTCTACAAATAAATGACCACTTGGGGCATTACTGATGTAAAGCATTTGTGAAATCAAACACCCTTTTGCAGATTTGGCATTTTGTGACAGCAGACATTTTATATGTTTTTAGGAAGGTTGGCTGTTCAGTCTGAAGTTGATGACTAAACAAAATATGTTTGGATTAAGTGTGCAACCAGATAGTATAATATAAACTGTTGTAACAAGATCTTCCGTTTCTAAGCCCCAATAATTATTTATTTTCTTCTTGTTTTTAGGGTGAATCTGTAAAATATTTCCTGGATAATTTGGATAAACTTGGAGAACCAGTAAGTTTTTAAACAGAATGTTTGTTTATTGCTATTTGAATGCAATAGTCAGGATATCAATGTTTAATACGGGGGCAGCTTGTTAGGAAAAATTTAGAAAAATTATGTATTATGCTATTTGCTTCTCTCTTTTTCCTAGTGGCAGTGTTCTGACTCGTTATGCTTTATTTAGAGTGATGGCTAGGAAAGAATATTGAATGATTTTTATTTTTTCAAAATGGAAAAAAATTCTTAGTTTCCAGCTGCAACACTCCTTTTTTATCCCCCTACCATTTCTTTGAGAAATGCCCTATCCACTGGAAGTAAAACTGTTTAGAGAAAGAAGTTTATGTTTGGAAATCAGATTGCACATTATCTATTATACTTCATTGTCTTTTGGGGGGTTTTGTATACAGAAATAGAACACAATGGGTTGATTGATTTCCAGTCCTTTCAGCAAGTGACTTTTTCCAGTTCATCTCCCCTTTGTGTTAAGCTACAGAGTAGGAGGGCTAGATTCTGAAAGCCTGCTGAAGAGACTCCAGGATGTAGGAGAAGGAGTCATCCTTGGAAAGAGAGTTATTATTTTCCTGTGGTGTATTCCTCAGAGCCAGCAGCTCTCAGCTGGAGCTAGGCCGGCTCTGGCTCCCGGGCCTGCTGCAGGCGGAGCAGCCCCACTTATCTGTTTTCCCTCCATATTGGACTTACGCAGAAGAGTTTGTTGGAAGAAAGGTTTCTGCTGCTTAGATATTTTTGAAAGCCGTTGCCCTAGGGTCATTTGTTACTTAGTAAATTTAGTGTCGCTTCATTTGCCTCCTTGTAAAGCAAATTTCTGTTATAAATTTTAGCAGACAAGTGAAGCTGCCCTGCCTGCAGTAGACCCCGGAAGCCAGAGCCAGCGGTAGCACCAGCTGAGAGCTGCTGGCTCTGAAAAATACATACTAAAATCATGGTCTTAGGACTCTTCGAGGTTTTTAACTTTAAAAATATAAGCTGAAGGAAAGCACAAAATGAACCTGTTGCAAGTAGAAAAGTAGCAAGTAATGTATCTGGGACATGTGAAAAAGTATTCTTTTTTTTTTTGCCCTAGGAGATTAATTTTTACATTTTTCCTGTTTTTTTTTTTTTTTTTTTCTAAATCGTGTTTTTCTGCATTTATTTTTCCCTGCCAGTTTCCTAGGTGCAAGTGTTCTCCATAAGTTGAGATCTCCATGATTTGTTTTTTACTCATCGGGTCCACATCAGTGTAGCTTTGTAATAAGATCTATTTTATTAACACTTTTCCATCTGGTCAGATTGTAAACCTTAAAAAAAAAGTTAAGTATAGGCCAAATGGAGAGAAGCCTTAGCAGATAAACTAATTTTGTGAGAGTTATTTCTTGTTTCCAATTCAGACAGTGCTGACTTGACCTGCCCTTCTCAATTTACCTTTCAGATAGGCCTTCCTTGAGCACACCATTCAAAGTAGGTCCCCTCCTTTTATTCTCAGTATCAGCTCCTGCTTTCTTCCTTCATTGCACATGATACAGTTGACAGTTACATTGGTTTTACCCATCTATTTCCTGCAAAGATCTCATCTCCTGACTGTGAAGAGTCGAGAGTTCCTGCTGCCTGGTGACAATGCCTGGCACAAAGCAGGCACTCAACAAACAGCCTTTGAATGAATGACTCCAGGCCAACTGCAGTCAATTTGTAGTAGTTGCTTGGAATCGTCCATTGAGAACAATTCTAAGGCCACATCTGGAACCAAAAAAAAAGCGCTGTGATCAGTATGTAGTTTCAAAGGGAAGGAGAATAAACCTGATGTTCTCTATTTAGGGGAAGATTAAGAAAAAAAAATAGAAGAAACCTGGGTGGTACGGTATTTTTGTCATTCATTTTGTATATCTGGGACAAGTCACAGGATCGTGTTTGCTGTTCCATTTCTTACTGAAGTACCAGGGCCACGGAAGCCCTGCCAAGTGCCGAGCCCTGTGATCCTGGGGGGCTTGAGTAGCACAGGTGTCCAGGATGTGGGCTCTGCAGCCAGACGGCCTGGGCTCCCATCCCAGCTCCATCACGGACTGGCTCTGTGTGATCTCGGGCATCTTTAAACTGTAGTTTCTTCATTCCTAACATGGGCATAGTAAGAGAACTGATCTCATAGGGTTATGGGACAGTTACATAAAATAAACCCTGAAGGTATAGTAATGTAGTAAATGCTCAATGTTAGCTGTTCTTTGATCCCACATTTAAGGAGTTCAGTCTGGTCAGGGAGACAGAACTAACATACATGAAAAAACAAGTGGAGGACAATTGAATGATGCGCATCACAAAGATAATATAAGTTCATGGACTGGAGAGAGATGCCTTGGCTAGAAAGGTTGGAGCTGTCCCATAAGAGTAAGTGAACCTGAACAGCCTGAAGGATGGGTTGGACGTAGATAAGGAAAGAGATGTGTCCCACCAAGATGGGAGATAGCTGGATTTATTTAGTTTTAGAAGGCCCATCTGTCTGATGAAGGATATGTCAAGTTGTTGGCTTTCACCTCTAAAAACAGATTTCTAGAAGGCAGTAGCTTGAGTTTTTATGCATTGTTTGTGCAGGTGCACTGCTGTGCAAATGAATGAACATGTAATGGTATTACGACGTGAAGCTTTGTGCAGGTCTTGATGCTAGGTCCTGTGGTGAACTTGAACTGGTGCAGAACAGAGTCTGATTCCAGGAAACAAGGTGGAAGGAGGCCCTGAAAGCCAGTCAGCAGAGTTCGGGTCTGGGGCAGTGAGGGACACCACCATAAGTTCTGGAGTCATGGCGCAAGAGGGTTGGTTTAGTCTGGGAGAGGCACAGAGTGGCTTAGAGATAGATCCAAGAAATGTGACACATTCAAGGCAAAGAAACTAGTGACAAGATGGCAACCACGCCCGAGATGATAAAAAATAGGGGCAGTGGGAATAGTAAAGGAAACATGTAAGAAAGATTCAAAGAAGGAACAGTAGGATTTGATACAAAATAGATGATAGAGAAGCATCCAAGGTGATTGAAGACTTAGAGGCTGGCGGGTAGGTGGGAAGGGAGTGGGAAGGAGAACGTAGTCGTGGGACTTGGAAGAGTTGGTAAGGAAGAAGATGAGTTTTCTTACTGACTGTGTTTGTGTTTGATTGTGAATAGATCATCAAGTGCGAATGACCGGCGAGCATTTAAAAATGAGAGTCGGGCGGAAGTGTTTCTGGCTGTTCCAGCCTTCTTTGACTGCCCTCCCTTCAGCGTGGCAGTGGTGGCAACAGTAGTGGCAGCAGCTGACACAAATGTGCCAAACACAGTTGTTACTGACTTCACTTGATCACTTCTCAGTCCTCATAGCAACCCTATAGATGTTATCTCTGCACATGAGGAAATTGAGACACAGAGAGGTTAAGTGACTTGCCCAGTCACACAGCTCGTGTGGGCATGTCCGGATCACTGCCGGACCATTTAGCACCTGATTACATTGGCCTGGGCTTCATGTGAATTAGCGTTTAGCGTTTTATCTAGAGTGTTAACTCTTAATAAAGACGAAATAGAGAACTTTTTATTTTTATAGAACTAAAAAATGTTTAATGCTCAGGGGTGGCACATTTCGGAAATAGCTGGCACAGACATAGGCTGTAAATTGGTACTACCGTCTGGAAAGCAGTTGGGCATTACTTGTCCAGGGTCATTAAAATATTTGTAACCTTTTTGAGAGTCATGTTTAAAAAAAAAGTTTATAACTTTTCACCTCATAATCTTATTCCTGGTTATTTTAGTCTCAAATAATCCAAAATGATAAAAAATTATGTGCATCAGAATTCTAATAGAAGTGTTTCTGTTAATTACAGCAAAAAATTGGAAACAACCTACGTGACCTTTAAGGGGAATGTTAATGTAAATTATAGCACATTCATGCATTTGATATATTTTATAGTTTTATTTAAATGAGATGTGACAGTATCAGCATATAGAATAGTTCGTGATGAAATATTAATATTAAGCAGAAATGTGGCGGCAGGCTAAAAATTGTATGTGTATGTTGATTATAAGTAAAGTAGATACGTATGTGAACAAAAGCTAGGAGAAAACATGAGAAAGCTAACACTTTTATTACAGTCCTAGAGTTATTTAATGAATGACTGTGGATTGCCAATAAGGACTGCCTGCTTTTTTAAAAATTCTTAATTCTGTTGCACCATTTTAAGAAGATGAGTGAGTATTCATGTTGTATTGAAATTTCAAAACCATATTGTACTACTCAGGCATAAAATGCAGCATCGTGAATAACAGTCTGCATTGTTTTAAATTCTGCCTTGATTTTTAAAATATTTTGACCTTGATGATGAACATTAAAAGCCCCACATATTGCCAACAATCTGTGTCAGAGTTCTGGAAAAACACTCGACTGAGAAGGAAGAACGAGTTACATTGCATAAGGAAGTACACCATGAGGTAGCTGGTGACTCGTATGACCAGAGCTTCCATTTGTTCAGAGTCTTCGAGTTCACTGATCAGGGGTTCAGAGAAGAGCACACTTGACCTTTGCAACACCCTGCCTCTGAGGTAGGTAGGCCAGGTGTGATCATCTCCATTTCACAGGAGGTGCTAACACTCAGAGTAGGTAACTAGTTGTGAGTTCTTGGTCAGGAAATGAGAAAGGTGGAGCACAGCTGCTTAGACTGTGCCCTGGGAACAAACCCAGCAAGAGGTCCACAGTGATTAATTAGTTAGAATAGAGAAAGTGTTTTTCACACATGTAATATGTGACCTAGAGTGACCTAGTATAGAAACTCTAAGTCATGAAGGTGGGGTGCACAGTAAAGGAATGCTTAGAATGGGTTAGAGAGAAGTGGGCAGAACCCGGAACTGGGAAGGTAGACACACAGCAGTGGAGGTGGATGAGGACAATTGGTAGGTGAGACTTGAATTTGAATAGTACTGCCACAGTGAAAACAGTAGCATATGCTAGCCGTTTGCAGTGAATTTTGAACCTGTCTTTGTAAACTAACATTTTAATATATTTTGGCATTGTATAATAGTAATAGTATTGATGCTTTGATGTGTCAGAAATTGTCATTAAAAAGATCATTTTGGGCTGGGTGCAGTGGCTCACGCCTGTAATCCTAGCACTCTGGGAGGCCGAGGCCAAAGGTGGGTGGATCACTCAAGGTCAGGAGTTCGAAACCAACCTGAGCAAGAGCAAGACCCCGTCTCTACTATAAATAGAAAGAAATTAATTGGCCAACTAAAAATATATAGAAAAAATTATCTGGGCATGGTGGCGCATGCCTGTAGTCCCAGCTACTCGGGAGGCTGAGGCAGAAGGATTGCTTGAGCCCAGGAGTTTGAGTTTGCTGTGAGCTAGGCTGACACCACAGCACTCTAGCCTGAGCAGCAGAGTGAGACTCTGTCTGGGGGAAAAAAAAAAAGAAGATCATTTTGGTTGTATATCCATTCACTAGGGCAGTTAGTAGTCCATTAAAAATTCTAATAATTACTTCTAGATTACTAAGTATAAAATAATTTTTTTCTTTTCCAGGATTACATCCCATCACAACAAGATATCCTGCTTGCCAGAAGACCCACCAAAGGCATTCATGAGTACGACTTTGAAATTAAAAATGTTCCTTTCAAAATGGTTGATGTAGGTGGTCAGAGATCAGAAAGGAAACGTTGGTTTGAATGCTTCGACAGTGTGACATCTATACTTTTCCTTGTTTCCTCAAGTGAATTTGACCAGGTGCTTATGGAAGATCGACTGACCAATCGCCTTACAGAATCTCTGAACATTTTTGAAACAATCGTCAATAACCGGGTTTTCAGCAATGTCTCCATAATTCTGTTCTTAAACAAGACAGACTTGCTTGAGGAGAAAGTGCAAATTGTGAGCATCAAAGACTATTTCCTAGAATTTGAAGGGGATCCCCACAGCTTAAGAGACGTCCAAAAATTCCTGGTGGAATGTTTCCGGAACAAACGCCGGGACCAGCAGCAGAAGCCCCTGTACCACCACTTCACCACTGCTATCAACACAGAAAACATCCGCCTCGTTTTCCGTGATGTGAAGGATACTATTCTTCATGACAACCTCAAGCAGCTTATGCTCCAGTGATGTACAAAGGACTTGCTATTTTAATATCTTTTTGTGTTTTTGATTGTTTTCTGTTTGTTTTGTTTTTTAAAATAGTTTACAACAGGAATTAGAAAAATCTTGATTCTATGTTTAACTTCTTGAAAATCTTAGTCTTTTTTCTGTGGCCTTTGGTTTGTGGCTGAAAGCTGTTGAATAACACATCGCCAAGATTTGCTGAAATTCAGGCTTTGATCTGTTTCACTATGGCTTCCGTTCGAGTTCTAACTTCCTGGCCAACCTCAGACTAGGTATATTTAAGGCTTTAAAGCCTTCCACTTTTCAAACTGAATTCTCCTATAGTGCCAAGTATAGAAGATGTCCTTGAATACTTATAGGGATGAGGTAGGGAGTATTTGGTTCTAAAACAAGTAAGATGTCTTTTGTCTGCCGCACACGTAGCAGCGACTCTTGTTGCCTAGCTATTTGGTGACCTATTTTGAAAGGGCTGTTAGAAAAAGGTTTGATCTAAGGAATGGCATTCTGTAGATTTATACAGGTTTAGCCTTCGCTTTTTTTTAACAGTTGTTCTGTTTTTAAATTTCTATGGTTTTTGAAGGTGTAATGCTCTTAGTGTTTTAAAGTTTCCGTAAGGATTTCTGGTCTGATGCTGATGACAAGAGTTCACGAGTGGTACAGGGGAGCAAAAGGCAAACAAATGCCATATACGGTGCTTTGATCAAAAGCAGTGAGTGAAATATAATTTGCCTTTTTCATTTCTTTATCATGTAATGTGCCATATGTGAAATTCTGGCCATAGCAGCAACTAAAAACTGCAAGCAACTTGGTAACAGAACTTCTAAATAAACTTAACTGTTTCAGAATGTCATGTGTTTTAAGTCCTGTTTCGGTTGATTTTGGTCTTTTCGGTAGAAAAGCATTGTTGCATTGTCACAAACATCTCTCTTGCTCTCCTGCCCATTCCCATCAACTCCAAACTGTGGCATTGATGGGAGTTTGTTTGTTTGTTTGTTTGTAGCTTGCCAAGGGCTGTATTTTCCTGCCACTCAAGAAGGCATTATTTGAGATTCCTGTTGATTCTTGGTGTGTCTCTAAATGATACAGTATGTACACGTTTGTATAATTATTGTTTATGAAAGGCCAGCTTTTTTGAGGTATATTTTAAATGTTTTAAGGATGCTTCTAAGGATAAATAGTGATTTTTTAAGTTCACACCTAAGGATTTGGCCTCCCCACACTCACTGCTTATCAAATTAAAACATACCCATGAAGTAGCTTTGTGATTACAAATACATTCATAGTGAACTCATCAGAATGGCTGGTTTGCAGTACTAAAAGTACTGCCTTGTAGGGTATATGTAGGGTTAAAATTGGATCAGAGAAACAGATATATGAGGCTGGTGACAATTTGAAAAGTGATGGCTTTTCTGCTTTTCCTGAAAATTTTGATTAAAACTGTGATATCTGTCACTTTACTGTATAGCTGACTATATTCTCAGGTATTTTATCAGTCCTTAAAAGATTGGTTAACATTATGGATCACCCAGCCTTTACAAGTCAGTGGTTCTTGTTCTGCCCTGCTGTCTGGTATGAGAACAGGGTTTTTCAGTGAGCTAACCAGGGATTGTTCTTGACATACCTGACTTTCCTTGCATTTGAAGTTCCACTATCATTATATCCATGTAACTTCCAGTGTTTTTTTCATGCCTTGATAATACATGAGCTACAGATATGTAGCTTGACATCATAATGCAGGTGTACATAGTATAATCTGTGCATGTTTGAATAGTTCCACATCTAGTGCTTCTTGCCAAAAAGAATACATCGTTTATAAATTTACAAGGTTAGCATAATTTCAGTGCTAATGAATATCTGAATATGTACACAGTCACATTTGGACTGTTCCTTGGAGTGTCTCATGTGTAAATTGAGCAGATAGTTTTATTGAATGGCCAAACATTTAATTCCAGTGAAGACTAAATTTAGATCCCTTCAGAAAGAGGGCACTTAGTCTTATTTAAGTTATATTTAAGATGTCTAAACGGTAAATATTGCCTGACAAAGCACAAATCGCTGTTTCTCCATTTTGACTCACCACCAAGAACTGTTAAAACACCAACCAAATAGATATGGTATTATTTTGGGCATTTGCAGTTTTATTCCCTGATGTTTGTGATGTCTCAGAATCAACATTGTTTTAAAATAAAATCTAGGATATATTTTGAGGCAGTAACACATTTGACTTAAGCTTGTTCAGACATTCAATGGGACTATAAGGTTCACTCTGAAGGCTTTAGCACACGTTCTTTTATATGCTGTGTTTCAAAACCATTTGAAAGGAGTCATACCTGTATCATGAAAACTGGATCCTTTTGAAATACCACTGTATGAAGAGGGAGATGAAATTCAGTGAACTGAATTAAAAAGGTGCTCATAATTTTCGCTATGCCAACTTCCCCCTAGTCGCTGAAAAAGTAATTTAGATTTAAAGTTCTTTGGTGTGTTTTGATTTTCTAAATCGTTACGGTTATGATTTGGAATAAAACGTGCCTATTTCTATATTACATTCTGTTCTTAAACCTAAATGCCTTCTCTTTTAATTCTGAAGAAATATCACATAAGTGTCTTTGTTGACCTTGAAGAAATTTCTAGTCTACAGAGTTGCCTTATAAATCAAAAACAAATTTAAACATTAATTTTTATAGGGAAAGGGTTTTGTCAAATGTTTTCTGAAGATCTAAATAATTCAAGGCAGCCTCTGCCACTTAAACATGATTTTTAATAACCTAAATTGTTGCTCTCTGCCAAATATCGCATTAAACTGAAATCTTCATTTCAATTTTATTATCTGGAAAGAGCACTTGGTAGCTAGAATGTAACTGCAACCGAAGAGCCCAATATGGAATGAAAGAGGTCATTCATTTTTGTCTTGTTTTCTTTTAAGTTGTACCAGCATGTACTTTACATAGAGAAGGTCCTCTGGCTAATCTCTCAAATTAGAGCTGTTGAGGGAAATCTCTGTTTAGTTGGTGGCAGTGGTTTGTTTAAAGTAGAAAGAAATAGGATCACCTTAATACCAGAAATGATTAGAAATACTGGTGTAACATTCAACAGAAATCATATGCTCTTATAATTTTTTGTAAGAAGGAATGGGTAAATCTTACCTTTCAATGTATACCCAAATACTTGTATTTATGCTTTTGATAAAATGTATTTTCAGCATCAGTACACATATCCGGTTATGCCTTATTTATGTGAAGAATAAAGTTACCAAATTATGCTGTTATGTCCTGAAACTCAAAATCACTATTTGAGAAACCCTCAAATTGGTGCTTTTATTATATAATGACACATTTAGACAAAACCCCAAACCAAGTCATTTGAAACAAGATTCTCTCTATTGCAATTTGTAGCAATGTTATTTCTGTGTGTGTAATGAGAAGGCTAACTATCAGTGTTAACTCTTAATTTCTTGCTTGAATCCATGAAATCATGTGTGTAAAAGCCCAGTCAAAAACATTTGTAACAAACTCCCTAATAAATCTAGAGAAAGTCACTCTGTTACCTTTTCATTTCTTTTAGTTTTATTTGAGGAATCAACAATTTTGCTCATGTCTTTTTCAGTTGGAAATCTGACTTAGTAGTTGATCGCTTTGTCTCTTTCCCATCATTTCAGCATGTTAACTTCCATTAATCACAGATGATCCACCCTTGTGTTGTGCTGCTCTACTAAAAGCACTCAATTTTTTTTTTTTTAATGATAGGATACAAGGTGGCTTTTCAGTCTAGTAAACATGTGGAGGGGAGAGGTTATGAGTGAGTGTATATGTGTCTCCTTGTTCCAAATAAAGCAGATGATATAGTACATGCCCATTATTTTACGGTACGAGGTTAGGGCTTATTAAATTTGTACTAGAGAAGTATAAATTATTGAAGTGTAAGTCTAAACCTGAACAGTTGAAACAAGTTGGACTTTATGGCTTCTTCAAGTACCATCAAGTAGTTATTAGCCTTAGGCTGGTAGGTGATTATTAACATTTGAAGTACAGTGTTTGTACCACTAACATTCTTATGTCTGTACTTGAATTAGTATAGTTAGCATTTAAATTAATATGTTTGCCCTGTGGCATTCTGGTCTAACAGTCTGATTTCAAATGCTAGAGCATATGGAATGTCGATTGTTTTTAAAAGCATTAATGATATGGCAGTATTTTCTGGGTTGATAAAGAGATTTTTTGTGACCTATGCAAGTCTATTGATAATCATGATGAAAATTTACAGATGGATCAAAATAATGTTGGGACCCACTATGCACAAGTCTTCAATCAGTGACTGTCACTGATAGTAATATACTACTTGGTGTTTGATTTTGGTTTGTATTTAGAAAGCTTGTTTATGTATTTCTTGCCATAGTCAGTGATGAATTTGTCCTTAAGTATGCCTTTTTGATGGTACCAGGAACAAAGGGGAAGGGGTAGGGATTCTTGCAAAGTGTATGCAACCGTGCAACGGACTGCCCTTTCTTTACCTCTTACTTGAAAGCTGAATCGCAAAATGTTTTAAATGGCTTTTCTATTCTACTCTACTATGGTGAGAGCTCATTTACCGCAAGAAGCCTTATCAAAAAGTATATTTTGTAACAAGCTCATAGATACTGTACCTAACAAAACATGATTTGTATTAGCTCTGTATGAAAGTATTTGTGGCTTAGGATTTTTTACATATATCTTTTTATAACTTTCCAGGAACTAAGCACATTATCTGATATTGTTGTACATTTTTTTTTTTCGTCAGTGCTTTAGTTCAGTATCGGCAATAAATTATTTCTAAAGGAGGTCTGAAAGTGGAAAGAAATGGTTTGATTTTATAAAATGAGTTGCTAGTACATTAAGGCTTTTTACTTTTGTACATATTTTGCAAAAAAAAATTTGCCTCTTGCTATTAATATTTGCTTTGTAAAAATTACTGACATTTAATAAACATTTATAAATGATTCAATACTATGACGTCATTTAAACTAAGTTTGGTAAAGTATAAAGCAGTTGCTCAAAGACTGAGAACAAAAATTTCATCTAGTGACCGATTTAAGGCACAGAAATTTACTTCGGCAGGTCTCCAACACTTTGCTTTAATATTAGTCTGTAAGCTTTTCCTTGCTAGAGATGTGGACTTCTTCCAAGGAAGTTCTCAGACACTTAACGTGCTTTGACGTGGGAATAGGGAAAGACAAACCACTCGTATTTCTCTGTTCTTTTATAGTTGCTGAAACTACATTAGGGTGTATTTGAGCCCCTGGTTTACCCAGCTTTGACGGTAATTCTGTTATATCTGTAATTGAAATAGTGTTTTGGTTTTTTTTGGAGGCAGAGTCTCACTCTGTTGCCTTGGCTAGAGTGCCGTGGCATCAGCCTAGCTCACAGCAACCTCAAACTCCTGGGCCCAAGCAATCCTCCTGCCTCAGGTTCCCGAGTAGCTGGGACTACAGGCGTGTGCCACCATGCCCGGCTAATTTTATATCTATATATTTTTAGTTGGCCAATTAATTTCTTTCTATTTATAGTAGAGACGGGGTCTCACTCACTTGCTCAGGCTGGTTTCAAACTCCTGACCTTGGAGGGATCCTCCCGCCTCGGCCTCCCAGAGTGCTAGGATTACATGCTCAGTGAGCCACCTCGCCCGGCCTGAAATAGTGTTAGTGTTTTTAAAACAAACTGACATGTTACCACTCAGACTTTTTTTTTCAATAAACTTTATTTTAGATTATGATTTACAGAAAAATCACAAAAACTTAACAGTTTCTCTGTACTTCCCACCATTTATAATAGTGTGCACTGTTAATATCTTGCATTAGTGTGGTACATTTGTCTCAATCAATGAGCCAATACTGGTAATGCCATTAACTAAAGCCCATACTTTATTTCTGTCTGCTTAGTTTTTCTCTAATGTCCTTTCTCTGTTCCAGAATCCAGGCAGCTTACCACATTACATTCAGTTGTCATGTCTCCTTCAACTCTTGTTTCTCAGATTTTCTGGTTTTGATGATTTGGGCGGTTTTGAGGAATACTGGTCAGGTATTTTGCAAATTGTCCCTCTATTGAGAGTTGTATGGTATTTTTCACATGGTTAGGCTGGGTTATGGGTTTGGGGACCCCAGAGATAAAATGCCATTCTCATCAAGTCATATACCTTGTGTGGCTACCACTCTTCTTTCTACAACTTCAGCTAAGTTAGAAGTTATCAAATGACGTTTGGCTTGTTTATGCATTTTCTTAACTGACATTTATTGAAAGTTGTGCTTGCACTGTTCTTTTTCCAGACAGCATGACAGGCTTTCCCCCGCAAATGGAATTGCAAAGCAGGTGTACATAAAGGTCTAGTGGTAATACCTGCACTCCCAGCCTTTCTGGCAAACAAAAATTCTTTTCCACCTTGAATGTGAAATTTTACTGTTGGTCCCAAGAAAAATTGAGATAGAAAATTCAGACTTTGTGTCTAAATGTCTAAAAATCTGTGATTTGGGAAACAGATCAGTAGAGGCTTTCTGTGAGAGGTTTAAGATCTTTTAAGATTGAAACTAAGCTCACTTGAGCATTTGAATCCCCCTAAAAAACCAAGAAGTCTTTTTTTTTTTAAAAAAAAAAAAAACCCTGTTCTTATGTTATTGTTGGAACAAGGGGATATTTATCTTTGTAAAAAGGAACAGCAAAAACTGAAAACTGTTGTCTGGCAAAGTGTGTTGACACAGTCACGGTTAATGGACACCGACCCATGGGATGTCCCGTTGGCATGGGCTCCTCTCTCAAAATGACCTGTCCCATCGCCCACAATGTGTGTTGTTGACAAGAGTAGAGACTTCTTGGTCTCTTGAGAATGCAGGAACCTCAAGGTTTACAGGTTAAAACAGAGATTTATTTTGGGGACTTGGGATATTTGGCAAATCCTCAAAAAACTAATGACCTAAGGGCAGTGTTTTAAAATACATGCTGTAATTATTCCTCAGGAATTAGTGAAGCACCTGGAATTCAGTGTTGTGTTTGGAGTTAAGTATCTACGAAAAGGCAACAATATTGCATGAGAGTTCCCTTTTCTTTGAAGTACACCAAGAAAACAAAAGGCTCAAACAAGTATGCAGTACAAACAGCTATTCAGGGAGGCTGTGTTAAGCTTCTTCTGTTGGCCACAAGAATACTAAGAGGAGCTGTGTTCAGAATTAACATTTATACCGAGTGGAGGAGTATGTTGATTTTTCTTCTCCCCGCGAAGTTTCATGGCAGGAAAACAGAAGCAGTCAGGGCTTTTGCAGAGTGGAGAATTCTGTGATTAACTACACTGCAGCTTCAGACAGTCTTGATGTTCTATCCCCTGTCCAATGGTGAAGAAAAGAGAAAACAAGCACATAAAATGTACGGAAGGCCAAACGCCGCTGACCTTGGGAGAGAAAAAGTCTTCATTGTATCGTTTTACTTTCCTACTGTTCTACGTGGAAAATCCCAGTTCTTGTAAGCTTTGTGGGATTTAACTAGCTGGTTTATTTTAACTCACATCAAAGTGAGTTCATAGAAACTTTGTCCTGAAAAAATGAGCCTCACAGCACCCACGGCTCTGCTCTGTTGATGAAATTCCAGATTTAAAGCTAATTTTCTACAGGCAGTGCTTGCATTTGTAGCAAGGCGATAGTTTGGGGGAAGATGCTATAAATCAATGTAAAAGGGGAATATGTTCCAGACTAAAGGCTGGATGCCACCTTTATGGAAGTGAGGAACGTCAGTCTAACACAGGAAGGGCATCACCCTTTCTGTAGTGCATGGGACAGAATGACATCCAGACTCCCAGCCCAAGGTGGCATTGAGGAAGGACCCAGCACTAACCTCCCTTTCCAAACAGCCTTCCCTCCCCGCCTCCTTCACTCCTGCTAAGCTAGATGAATTATTCTCCCCATGCCTCTTCTCTCTGCTTCTCTTTGCAACAGGGCAAAGCTTACTCGTCCTTCAAGGCACAGCTCAGGGAAGGATTGCCCAATTCCTACCTGTGCTGCAGATGGGAGCAATGTCCTTCCTCCGAGCACCCATCCCAACCCCGTATTATTCCTCTCCGGGGACACTTAAAACATGCCACCTTGTTTTGAAGCTACTGTTGTTCAAAGCTATTATTGTTTGAAATTATTACAGTGGTGTGAACTTGACATTGGTCCCCAGAGGCTCCTGCTAAGCTCCCCGAGTGCCCGGATTCATCTGACTCAAGATCGGATTGTGACGCAGCCTGACTGTGGAGCAGAGGAGAGAATGCTGCCCTACAAGTGTGGCATTTTACTGTGACTTGTATCTCAATCAGGCTGTTTTTAAAAAGAACTTGAGACTTCAGCTACCCCACACAAGTTTGTAAAACCAAAAATAAATATACCAGAATGTTAACTTTCCTGAGTGATGACAAGACGTTTTGTCTTCCTTACACTTTCCTGCTTTCTAAATTTTCTACAAAGAGCATCTATGATGTTTATATGAAGAAAAAAATCGATCAGCATTTCAAGGCAAAAGATCAGCCCCGCATTTGGCCGGTGAGGGGGAGGATGCCTTTCCTTACTTGCTTTAAAGCAATTCGTGTGCTGCTCGTCCACGGCAGTCATCGCAGGTGTTAACCTGTTTTCCAGTCTGACTTGCAGGTTAGACTGGGAGCTCCTGGCAGGCAGAGACGGCTGTGCCTGCTTCACTCACCTCTGGACCCTCAAGAGTTTAGGAGCTTGCTAGGTGTGCGTGTGTATCTGTAGAGTTTAACTGAATTTGTGAAATGTCTACCATGTCACCTACGTGCGAGACACTTTGGGCGATACGAAAATGATCCACGTGTGGATTTGAATTTAAGATGCTTACAGCCCAGCCGGGACAAAATATAGGTGCATAAAAACTTAAACCAAGGCTGGGCGCGGTGGCTCACGCCTGTAATCCTAGCACTCTGGGAGGCCGAGGCGGCGGATTCGTCGAGGTCAGGAGTTCGAAACCAGCCTGAGCAAGAGCGAGACCCCGTCTCTACTATAAATAGAAAGAAATTAATTGACCAACTAATATACATAGAAAAAAATAGCCGGGCATGGTGGCGCATGCCTGTAGTCCCAGCCACTCAGGAGGCTGAGGCAGGAGGACTGCTTGAGCCAGAGTTGAGGTTGCTGTGAGCTAGGCTGATGCCATGGCACTCACTCTAGCCTGGGCAACAAAGTGAGACTCTGTCTCAAAAAAAAAAAACTTAAACCAACATTACAGTAATAAATCCCACTGGAGAGGACTAGATAAAGCACTTCAGGACTTCAGAAAAGCAATTCCTTCCATCTAGGTGGAATCCGGACACTTTTGTGGGAGAGAAGGCATTTGGGCCAAAACTTGGAGGATGCCTTAAAGGTACCTGGAACTAAGGAGCAGGGAAGGCTGCATGCCAGAGGGATGGCACAGCATGGCAATGAAGGAGCCAGCCGGGAGATTTTTCATTTATCTCGCTTTGACCAAGCACCGTTCATCAAGCTGCCTTTCATAAGGTGATGAGGGCAAAGAAGAGAAACGCCCCACTGATCCCCACCCCCAAGAAGTTTGCTGTCTAGAAAGGGAAACAAAAATACGGAAGGCTCTGATAAAAAGTGAGTAAGACAGATGTGGAAAGGAGCCCTAGGCAGAGAGTATTGCATGTGCAAAGGCACTGAGGCCTGTGGCGCTTACAAGTTGGGTGGCAGCAAGATTTCCAACTGTTATGAAGGTAGAAAGGAGTGGACGAGTGGCAAGAGGTAAAGCTGGGGACATGAGCAAGGAACATGCCAGAAAGAGCCTCACGTGCCAGATCAAGGCCCTTGGATTTGGTGCTATATGCATGGAAAACCAGTAAGCATTGCGAGAAGGGAAATGACGTGATCTCAGTGGGGTTGTAGAAATGCCCGTGCGGGTGAGGACTGGAGGGAGGCAGGAACTAAAGTACAGGAAAGACTAGAACTTGAACTTACATATTAGCCAT